ATAATCAATCTTAAAAAAAAAATTTAAACAAAGAAACATTGAAAAAAGGAGTAAATGTTTGTCAATGACTACCATAACATTTTTTGTTTTAGTTATTCTATTTTTGCCTGAAAATATTTATCAGCATAAGTATGGCTCTCTATTACCTTGTTTATACCTACGCAAGACCGAATTAACAAAAAGCTAAATTGACTCAAGACAGATTTCTTTCAAGCATTTATACCTGTGTCGTTATAGCGTACTCGCAGAAACCGTATTCAAAAGTAAACAACTTTTGTTATTTTTATTCGATATTTCTTAAATAATTAAATTGCGTGGTGGACCGAAATGGAAGCGAACAAGAATTCAACTTGGTTATAATAATAATTCTAATTTAAAACGGGCTGTGTAAAGATAACCAGCCTTTTTTCACTTCGCGTTTAATGAGTGATGTGTTTTCTAACCGATGTTAGAAATAAAAAACCGATTTGAAAACAAATTCGAGTCAATACACTTTTGAATTTCTGAGCGTATTGAAAGTTGGTTTATGCTTAATGTGACCAACCGTACTTCTTTCGGAAGTACAGTACTTCTTTTTTATAAGCTTTTATTCGCTCTTGTACTTCGTACTTCGAAGTACAGTCAAATGTACTTCTTTGCGATATTTTGTAGGTCAGGGGTGAGATTCTGTAACCAGTTAGCGACAATTTTCGGATCGGATATAAATGTTTTTACATCAAAAAGTGCGATAGAAATTCGAAAATTGTCGCTAACTGGTTACAGAATCTCTCCCCTGGTCTTGTACCTCTCCGATCTTCTGGGCGATAAATTCGCCATTAAAGTCCTGCACAGCTGCAAAGGGCTCTGAAGATGTCGTGCAATTGGTTGAACCCTATTTATGCGAACTGGCTTGGAGGGTAGTCAGTGTTGCGTTCATCGCGAAGGCCGGAAAGGTTCGTTTTCTAAACACGCTAGAGATACTGATAGAGCTGTACATAAGAAACGCGATTCCTCGTGACTGTCTTTCAAGAGCTTTTTGGAAGAAAAGGTCGGTGAATACCGCTCTGCACACATTGGTAAAGTGGTCAGAGGAAGCCTTCCCGCATGAAGTTTATGCAGTAGGGGCCTTCTTCGATATCGAGGGGTTCTTCAGCAATGTCATTCCAGAGGCAGTAGTCAAATATATTCATAATCTGGGGGTCGAAAGCAATCTAATAGGGTTTATCTACAGCTTACTTCGTGACAGAACTGTCGCGGCGGAGTGGGGGAACGATTGCACTCAGTCCAGAGTCAATAGGAGCACTCCACAAGGTTGTTCTATCTCCCCTGCTCTGGATTGGGGTTGTAAACGACCTTCTAGAGGAACTGGAAAAAGTGGGCTGTCGGGTGATCGCCTATGTAGATATGGAAGTTTTGGTTGAGGGACGATTTCTGTACACCCTTTTTGATCTGGCTCAAAGTTACCGTAACCAGGTAACTGGGTGACTGACAGGTAACAAGATCAATAGAAATAAGGTCAATTGACACTATTTCGTGCACTGGTGAAAAACAGAGTTAAATGACATTATTACCGTTTCACCATAGATATTATTGCCCTTTTAAACACTAAGGGCCAATTTCACAGTGCGTAGTTAACTCAGAATCGGCAGTTAACTAGAGATTTTCAGTACAAAAATCTGTAGTTATCTGCCGATTCTGAGTTAACTACGCATTGTGAAATTGGCCCTAAATTTGCGTAGCTTCGCGGCGGCCGCGTCTGCGCACCACGCAGAGCCGCGCTTGAGCATTGTTACCGGTATTTCCATTTGAATGAGGAAGTAGCATCATTTACTTTGTTTCCAAATTTTTGTTGACTTTATTTCGCTTTTGAAAAGGTAATAATGTCAATTGATTTTATTTCGCACCAGTATACGAAATAGTGTCACTTAACCTTATTTCCGTTGATATTGTTACCTGTATCAACTAGGTGACCGATCAACGGCGGCAGTCGTGGAAGCATAACATTGAGGAAAGGGTAGGAAAAGTATTGGCTGCCTTGTACTGCTGTAGGGGAGCTATCTGTAAAAGGTGGGGTCTCACCCAAATTAATTCATTAGCTCTAGGAAACCAGATTTAAGCCTATATGGTTTCAAGGAGCTCTTGTCTGGTGGAACTCACTAGAGAAGGCTACACTTGTAAAACAGGAATTAGCCAACCTTCGGGAGGCGAAGATGGAAGAATTTGGCTGGCACTTCTAAACTTAACTTCTTTGAGCTATGAAATAGTTGGTCACATTATTTATGCTTCCGTTTTGAATCACAGCGAACTGGGTCAAATCACTTTATGTGTTGGTATAAACAAGGTATATTACAATATTGTCACTCCGAGTTTTCCAGAATATCAATTTTTTTTTAATTTTGCCATGATATTAACATAAGTTGTTTTACTTGTCTAAGTGCATTGCAGTTAAGAAGCGCAAAAAGTTATTGATCGAATGGCATAGGAAATAACTTAATAAAAGTAATTATTTTGTGCTTTTAAGTGAATTTATCATGGTCACACTTAAAATAAGATAATTACCAATGCCCATTATTGCTTAAGGAGTTTCAATGATTTCCTTGTTTTTATATTTTAGTGAAATAAAACCCTTAGAAAAAAACCAAAACATGTGAAATATTTCCAGAATATGATTTTTAGTTAAAAAGGATTTTTGTTTAAATAGCTTATTTCTCCAAAAGTGTTCAAATGGCATATATGGGTAATTTTTGCTGAAGAAAGATCAAACAAAAAGCCTGCCTCCCAAGAAAAACCTCACGCTAACGTCATAAAGAAGGTGGGAAAACTTCAACATTAGCTTATCTGATAAATGAGTATCGAAGTGAGCCTGAAAGCAGTTTCGTATTCTGCGCAAATTTTCACGTCAGTAAACGATTTCAGAGGATAAATTTATCAATCTTAAAAAATATAAATATAAATATAAATATAAATATAAATATAAATATGAATATAAATATAAATATAAATATAAATATAAATATAAATATAAATAT